TAAGGCCTGGATCATTTAACCCACCAGCCAGCTCCTCTTTCTTTCTACATCTTATTATATCATGTCCTATCATATCTGAAAGTCAGAATGGGGCAAATACCTTCCAGAGTGGTGAGTGCAAACCCCTCATTTAACAATGACAAGCCAAAGACTCAGAAAAGATAGAAGATATCCAAGGCCATTCAGCTCGTTAATGAACAGGGTTGGGGCCAAATGTTAATCTTCTTTCTCTTAGTGTGGTAATTTTTCTTCTGCTTCACAACATCTATTATTCTTTGAAGAAGTGTAAAATATCATACTCTTCAGTAATATGTAAAGTAAATATAATTTGCTTATACACAAGTCTTGCTTTTGATATCATTAACCTACATAACCTTGGTATTATGTAGATGCTTATTATTTGCACTGTGCTTGTAGTTCTATAAAAACTGTTATAAATAAATTAATGGTTTTATTTAAACAATTTTGCAGTAGAAGGAATTAACAGAGACTTCAGAATAATATCTTTATAAGCTAGAAAGGAGATTTAAAGTTTGTCCACGTGACTAATAAAGCTAAAATGATAGACTTGATAATGTAGTCTGTTCCTGTAATGGGAATTTCAGTTTTGCCCACTTTTAAGAGCCTGTAGAGTATTTTGGTCTGAAAAGATTTGGAATTGACTTGATGGCGGTGTGTTTGATGTTCTTAGAAATTTTGATGCCTAGACCGTCACCACTAAAAACACAAGTTACTTCAGTATTACTACATGAACTATCTTAAGTATGTCATTCTCAACCCATTCCAAGATAGATCTGCCTGTAAATTCAGATATAAAGTCACTGTTTTAATGAGACTCAGTTCATTTCAGATTTTATACAAATGTCAGTGGCAGCAAGGGAAGTAAAATTCCTTTTAAAAAGAGTTTAAAAAATTTTAGATTCAAATAGGAAACTAATTGTTTAAAATTTAAATACAAATGGCTGCAGAGCAGAAGTACAGAGAAGTTATATCAGTAATAAATTATCTTATTAAAAAAACCTATTTAAATATGTAACAACTTTATTATTTATGAGAACGCTATTCCAGTGATTAATTTTATTATGTCTAACCATATAGTAATAGACAGTTAAGTGAAATTAAGTATGTTGACAAAGTAATACCACTAACTTCAGTATTTCTAAAACGCTTTCATCACCTCAAACTGAAACTGTCCTAGGCAGTAACCTTTTATTCCTCCTGTCTCGTACCTTCTGGTACTTTTTCTACTTCTGTGAATTTGCCCATTTTAACTATTTCAAATAAGAATAATCAAACACTATTTAGCGTCTACTACCTGCTTATTTGCGTTTTGTAATTTATTAGAAGAATGTCTATTTCTGTTTTATTGACTGCGCTAAAGCTTTTAACTGTGTAGACCATAACAAATAATGGCTAACATTGAGAAGAATGAGGTTCCCAGGACACTTAATTTGCTTACCTTAACCAAGACAAAAAGCTGTTGACTGAACAGAGCAAGGGAAAGCAATCCATGGTTTAAAATTAAGAAAGGTGTGTGTCATGTTTGTGGCCTTTCAGTTTATGTGCTGAAAACATCATCATGTTATTTAATAGAAGTATTCTAGTTACAATTGGAACTCTGAATGCCTAGTGTAAAGAGCTGTGCTTCCAACTCAAAGGCATGCGGTTCAAATTCACCAACTACTTGGCATAAGAATGATGGACAGTTTTCTGCCCATGCAATTTACTGTCTCTGAAAACCCACTGGAGAATCAGCCACGGGTCAGTTTTGACTCAAGACAGCAACCACAGTGTATTAATTGTGCAGGTGTGGGGAACTGGATCTACTGAATCTTCCTGGGCAAGTTCTGACTAGGATCAATAGCTTGAGGTACTCTTCCTCAAGAAATGAAACATAGCAACAAGGCAGTAGATTTAATTATTTAAAAGGGTAAGAGAACACCATTGAGTTTCTAAGCCTGTAATCTTTATGAGAGAAAACACCTGCTTTTTTTCCCCCCAGTGGAGTAGCAACTGGATTCCAGCTGAATACTTTAACTACTGTGTCATCATTACTCTGAGAGCTCAAAACAGATTACTCTGTTTATTCTAAATAATGATGATTTGCCTTCCAAATATTTTAATTATGATTTTATTGAAAGTTTACAGAAAGAATGACTTTTCATTCATTCAGTGGTATACTTTTTCCTCCCTCAAACTTTCTCAGTTATCTTTGTAATGCATGTCCTTGTTCCAGATTGTTGTCATACATATAATGTCTCATCATTCTTGCATATGTTCCTTCCATTCTCCTCTTCTAGTGTAGTGTTTGTTCATTCTCTTTGCATTCTTTTTCTGCTCTCCCCTTCTTTTGTTTATCCTATTTTTATAATAACTATCTCATGCAGTATTTGTCCTTTTGTGACTGAGATATTTCATTTGGTATAATGTTTCTCTACTCGTCTATATTGTGTAATGTTTTACACGTTTGTTGTTTTTCAGTGCTACACAATAATCCATTGTGTGATGTACCACAGTTTTTCTATCCATTTGTTTATTGACAGGCACTTGGGCTGCTTCCATCTCTTTGGTGTGAATAATGTTGCAGTAAACATGGGTGGGCATACATCTGTTTGTGTCATGTCTCTGTTTTCTTTAGAGTATATTTCTACTAGTAAGATGGTTGGGTCAGATTGTGGTTCTGCTCCAACTTTTTGAGAAAGTGTCAGACTTAATTCCATAGTGGTTATACATTTTACATTAACACTAACATTGAATGAGAGTTCTAGTCTCTCCACATCCTTGTCAGCATTTGTTGTTTGCTGATCTGTTGAACTCTGTAATTATTGCTTGAGTGAGATGTATCTCATCATTTTGATTTCCAGCTCTGTAATAGCTAGGTGTTTGGAACATTTCTTCATCCTTTTATTGTTTATAAAATAAAATTTTAATTTTATATTGGCTTACTTAGAAAGTTTGTATACATTATTTTTCACACTGGATCTTTCCCATTTCCTATACCCATCCCTCCTCCCTCTACTCGTTAAATTGTGTGACCCTATGATTCACACACACACACACACACACACACACACACACACACTGCCCATCTGAATCTCTTTTTTGTTGAAGTGCCTATTCATGTTTTTTACCCATATTGTAACTGGATTATTTACCTTTTGTTTAATTTACCTTGTTGAGGTGTTGGAGTATTCTGTACATTTCAGATATGAGTCACTTATCAGGTAAGTCTTGGCCCAATATTTTTTTTCCCAGTCTGTGAGTTTACTTTTTACCCTGTTGGAGAAGTTTTTTGAAGTGCTTAAGGATTTGATTTTTAGAAGGTCCCATTCTTCTGTTTTATCCTCTCCTGGTTGTAGGTTTTTCATTATGCTTGGAAATCTATTCATGCTGTAGATTGTGCCTTTGAATTTTTGAGAGCAGTGTTTATTTATAATTTTTTATTAACTCATTTGTTTATTCTTGAGGCAAGCATATGATGAATTCCTACTTTATTCCAGTTATTTTACTGCCTTTTAATGATCCCAGAGTATTACTCTGAGGGAATAAAAAGCAAGAGACCCTCCTGAATAGAGTTCTCCTTAAATGGTTTCCTCCAGGCCTTGTAGATGTCATATAACTCTCCCCAACTCTAGTGACCCCAAAACACACGGCTAGAATTCACCAGTTGAACTCTGGTAGAAAGTTAGACATTTACTTCCTCTGAAAATCTATTGGAGGATTGGCTCCAGCTTGATGGCACACAACAACCACTGAACATAAGAAATATTTTTTAATTAATCATCATGCTTTATTATTCTTTCTTTTCATACATTTACTGCGTGTTTAAAGAGACCTAGTGGCATACTAGGGGAGCTCCGGTGGCCTAGGGACAAGAAGCTGTGCTGCAGTCTCGAAGGCACGTGGTTTGAAGCCACCGGCTGATACCTGGGAGAAGGACGGATAGTCTCGTCCCGTGTGATTAACTGCCTCTGAAAACCCACTGGAGGGTCAACTATGGGTCGGTTCTGACTCGACAGTACAAGACAACAACAGTGGCATACTGGGGAGTTCTGGTTGCCTAGTGGTTAAAATCTGCACTGCAGTTCTGAAGACACGCAGTTAAGATCTGCCAGCTGCTCTCCAGATAAAAGGATGATCTCCTGTGGAGGGTTAGCTGTGGGTCATTTCCCACTCTGTGGTACACAGCATCAACAACAACAGTGGCACATTGATGAAAGCACTTCGCCGTTAACAGGAGAAAGATGTGGCAGTCTGCTCCAGTAAAGATTTACAGCCTTGGAAAACCTTCGGGACATTGCTACTCTATTCTTAATGGTTGCTCTGAGCTGGCATAGACCCAGTGGCTGTGGAATTCCTTAATTTAAACATTGTTGTTTTGATTTAATGTGTATGTTTTATGTTTTATTGATTAAAACTAGTAGGAATTTCAGAACGAAAACATTTATCATGTCACTTGGAAAAAACCTTACAGAGTTTTATTTTGTTAATGTTTTTCTTCTAAGATCCTTGAACAGCTGTCATTGAGCTATTTCCTGCGCTCTGTATTTTTTAATGGTCATTTTGAAATGAAATCAGTTAACCAAAACAGTAATAATTTTAACCCAAAGACACTGCCTTTATGTTCCTAGTTGACCTGCTAGGACTCTGAATCATATTACCTCTTTTTGAGGTAATATCACTGTTTCTGGTTCTTAAAGACCCTAAACGGAATTGACTCTAGAATTCTGATGATGAGGCCAAGATGCAGAAAAAAAAGAAATGGGACTAAGTGTGTGTACAGTGATAAAGACTAGCTTTATTTTCCTCTGAGGATAATGTGATCAGGTTTTTTTTTTACAGACAAGTGTAATTAATAATATTTAATATATATGTGAATATGAATATTAATATATGCAAATCTGAAAATATCATGCAGGTAAAACAACACACAGAGAAATGTGAATCTGTAAGACATAAGTGAAAGTGCTCAAAACCCCTCTTGTTTTCATTGTCTGCAGGAGAGCTGGAGGTGTTTCAAAAAGATGGAGAACGGAAAATTCAGAGTCGGCAGCAACTTCCAGTGGGAACAACCTGGGGGCCATTCGCTGGGAAGATGGACTTGAATAATAACTCTGTGGTATGTGGATGTTCGAAGATGGTTGACTCTTCATGTTTTGTCATAGCTCGGAAATTATCTCTGCTTGCTTCCCAGTGAAATCAGTAAAAATAACAGTTTGTTTTTGCTTTTTCATGGACTGCAAATCTTGGATTTTTTCCAAGTGGTTTGTCTCTGACAGGAATATACAGAGAATTTGAAGGAAACAGGTTAATCATACTAAATGACTGTTTAGTGAGGTAATTTATAAGGTTATTGCTTTATCGGCTTAGCCAGACTAATACAATTCACGTTTAATAACATATACAATTGCCTTTATTTTTAAGATGACACAAATTAATTGTCATACATTACAGGTTTACATGAAGAACAAGAAATAAACAACTTTGTTATTCCTCAGTAATACTATTTGTAACTTTTAAGAGCAAGGATGAAAGAGTAGCATTGTAATTTGTTGTGTTAATAAATTTTGTCATAAAAGTTTTGCTAGAAGAACGTCTTCTGCTTGGTAAGATTCTATGGATAATTGACTAGATGTTTTAAAAAATAATGAAAAGATGGATTATTTGTTTATATATGAATGTAATTTCTTAATGGTTAGTTTTCTATTGCTTCTTTAACAAGTTGTTACAAATTTAGAGCCTTGAAACAACACAGATTCATTATTTCACTCTTCTGGAGGGCGAAAGTCCAAAATGTCTGGACTAAATTCAAGGGCAGCATTTTTTCCCCCTGGACTCTAGAGGAGAATCCATTTTCTGTCTTTTCTAGCTTCCAAAGCCTGCCTGTGTTTCTTCTTCTTCGTCATTTTTTTAATGGTACTGTTGCATCCTGAAGCCAGCAATGGCTGATGGATTCTTTACAGCATCTCATTTATATGACACCTACTCTCCTGCCTCCTTGTTTAAGGGCATTTGTGTCTACATTGAGTACACCTGGATGATCCAAAATCGTCTACTTTAAATCCAGTTTAATTCACTTTTTTTTGCTGAATGTGAAGACCCATGGAAAAACCTTATTCTGTCTACCATAAGGAGTAGGCAGAACAAAATTATCTACTATTGCTATAATGCAGGTGATAAAATATGAAGAAAATATGCTTCATATTCTCTTGAACTTTTAAAATTAATACGTATATCCTCTCTCCCATATTATTGAGTCAGTTCTGACTAGTGGTAACCCTCCATTGACTTTCTGAGACTGTAAATAACATGGAAAGAGACAGCCCATTTTTTTTCTCCCTCAAAGTTCTCAGTAAATTCAACCTCATTTGATTAATAGGTCAACATGCCACCAACAGTATGACCCAAGCTCCTTAGATATTTATATATAAATGGAAATAAATATAGGAATATTTAGATAGATAGATAGATAGATAGATAGATAGATAGATAGATAGATAGATAAAAATACATATTTTCTTTCCAGCAAAATTCTTTTTCTTGAAATATCCATAATATATGAAGACTTTCTTAGTTTCAGTTAAATGACAAGTATTGAGGAGTCCTAGGGAGCTCAGGTGGGGGAGCTTGTAAGGAGCTATGCTACTAACCCAAACATTACATCTCTCTGGTTATTTGAATCTACCAGTGGCGCCATGGGACAAAGATGGGCAGGCAGCTTCCTGTGCAGTTTACAGCCTCAGAAACCCAGCAGCGGGTCAGCCAGGACTCGGTTCTGGCTCACTGACAGCAGCTTTATGAGGTTTTACTGGTTTGTCTTGTTTGGTTGTTTTAAGGATCCCTGATGGGAAGAAATATGGGGCAAGATGTACAGACCCAGAAACCCAAAGGAGGGTCACTAATGGTGAGACTCAACTCGGTGGCAGTTGGTTGGGGTGAACCCCTAAGGGGTTCAGGGACTTTGCATTCAGTGGTATATGGATGTTACGAAGTCTGTTGATGACCTAAAAGGAGTGTTTGGACTAATTGCTGTTCTTTGTTGTTTTTGTACCATGAAGTTGGAACCAACTCATAGCTGACTCCCCAGTGAGTTTTTAGAGGCAGTGAATTGCATGACGAGATTACCCATTTTACTTCTGTGGAGCAGCTGGTGGATTCATACAAACCATGTGCCTTTGGGTTGACTACACAGCTCCTTGCCACTAGGCCACCAGATGGGAATCATTAGAAAATGCTTTTTTCATCAAACCTATAAATCAGCATGTGAAGACTTTGAGTTGGGGGGTAATTTTTGTTCTAAATCCATGCATTTAGGATCATACAACTTGACGGTACAATTTAGGCAAAATGTTTCATAATGTGGACATTTTATTCTAGACAGGCCAGTGCAATGATTTTTCAGACTTTGAATTGTGGTGCTGCAAACATTGCAGGCTGAATTGTGTGAATAGTCTGTTCTGTTGATTCCCCTGAGAGTAATATTAACTGTACTGATTTCTCAGGTCAGTGAATTGTTAGAAAAGCAAGACAATTGTTTGAACATCAAAGATTTTTCTTATAAACCTCATTTATTGGACATTTCTATTTATTGTCTTACCCTGCTGCAAATCATATCTTCAATCATAAATATGTAAACCTTTTCTTCATGCATCAGACACCAACACAATCTTCATTTATGCCCCTGACTTGCCTTGAAAAGGAGCTGCTACAGATGAGGCTCCAATTGGTGACATAAGAGATAATGCACCCTTCCCCAAATACTTGTGGTTGTTAGGTACAGTTGAGTCGAGCATGACTCATAGTGACCCCATGGACAGCCAACCTGAAACATGCCCATCCTGTGCCATCCTCCTCATCTCTGAGACACTACAGCCCATTGCTAAAGTCACAGTGTCAGTCCTTTCTTGCTGATGGTCTTCCTTTCCTTTGCCAATGCCCAAAGTATGAAAGACAAAGCTTCCTCATCCTTGCCTCCAAGGAACTCTGGCTGTGCCCTTTCCGGGACATACCTGTTTGTTCTATTGACACATCACTGGAGGTCAAAATAATCTTGATATTTGAATTGGAATTTTATAGTAGTCTTTAGAGCATTTTGTATGTAGAACTGAACTTAATAGACATTTTTAGCATTCGCTAAAATGTGATCTATTCTTAATTGGAAATAGTTTTGTCTTTGATATGATGTAACATTTCTGTTTAGTAGACTTATAAAATCTACGACTGCTAATGTTTTCTTGGATAGTAGAAAACACTTTCTTACTTAATTAAAATAAGTTTTATTGTAAAAAAATATGTAAGGCATATTTTACTAATTTTGTGTACTTATATAATAATGATAAATTCTTTACTATAATAACATTAAGAACATTTGGTCACGTATGTTTACTATAGAGTATGAAGTAGTGAAATGAAAATAATTTTTCTTAAGATATAAAAAGTGCTATGTAATAGAAAATTATTCTCCATTATAATATTTCCTTTCCTGGCTTAGTAATAAGGAATTGTGCTGCCAATCCAAAGGTGTGGGTTCGAATCCATCAACTGTTCTGTGGAAAAAGATGGACAGTCTTTTCTCAGGAGAACTACTTTCTCCTAAAACCCACTGCAGGGTCGGGTATGGGTTGGTTCTGATACAGTACTAACAACAGCAACATTCAAGTGAATGTTTGTTTTTATTGATTTTTTTTATATTTTTATTCGTTTTCATAGTCATTCATATGCATTGTGTCTCAATACATGTGTATGGGAGGGATTTCCTCCCCCGTTCCCTATTATTAGTTAATAATAACTACATTTGTGAAAACATAAAGTCAGCTGTTTCATGTCTCGTGCCTTAAAATCCCTGGTTTAGGTAGCCTAGCCAATTTCTTATTCGCCGATCCCTGTTATCAGACCAGTACTCAGAACGAGCATATCCCTTTTGTTGAAGAATCTTCAGTTTGGGAACTTGGAGCATCTCCATCTACAAGAAATGTACAGTCAAGAGCAAACCATCCTGTTCCAGCAATCCAAGCTAGCTAACAGCACAGATCATCTCCTCTTCATCTGGTTGGGTTCTGGTCAACCCACTGTAGCCATCTGTGGCTGTATCCAAATGGGCATCAGCTGCAAACCTAGGAGTAGACACTTCTCCATATATTCCACATTGGTTGATTATCCCCTCACTCAGCGTTAACCCCTGCATGGGCCAATTCAACAAGCCAGGGGTCCCCATGACGCCCTGCTCCTCAAACCAACACTCTGACCCTCCTTTTTGCCCCCCCCCTTATTATTTCATACATCTCTCTGTGCATCCTAGGTGGACAGTGCTGAAGGAACACGTCCAAGCTCAGCCTGTTGCTTCATTGTTATATGTCGCCTACTTCCCCCAGAGGATCCAGACGATCATTACAAGTGAACATTGTTGCTAGCTCCCTTTAAGTGTTGGAAGTGGGCTCTGATGGGCACCAACTTACCTTACTTCAGAAGCCAAACAGCTTGTTCCAGATTTTAAAAGCCAATCTCTTATTCCACACCTCCCCCTTCCTTCATCTCTCTTCCTGTTTGCCTTTCTTTCAAATGTGAATCTCTTCAACCAAAAGTTCAAAGTGGGTATGGGTATAGGTATTTTTTATTTTTAATGAGATGAAATTCTAAAACCTGTGCTTATACTCTCCATCATACTTTTTAAAATCTCAGTAACAAATAAACATACTTGTAAAATTTTAATGTTTCACTTAATTTTTCTATGTTTTAAACAGTACCATTTTAAAAACAATATATATCTTGTTAATCAGCCTTATGGCTTATTAGTGTGTGTTCCATGAATTCAACTTTTATTTGTAAAATTTTTATTATTCATACTAATTTAGATATATTAATAGCTTTTATGATATCAAAACTAAGCTCTGGGTGATGAAATAAAACACCTATTATTATGCTAATTTTCTTCTTTTGTCTCAGGTATAAATGTCTGATCCATTTTACTTCCTCTAAATATAGTGTATTTCTCTCTTTTAAAAATTAACGACTTTATTAAATATGTTTAAAAATATCTTCCCTTTGGAATTATCTTATTTTCCTGAATTCACTCTGATTATACTTGGCAGCTAATTAACTGCTGTGTGCTTACTCTTTTAT